AAAAAAAAAAAAAAAAAATGTTTCTTTAAGGTAGCTTTATTTTAGGGAAATAAAAGTAACAAATTCCATAATTATTTTAGAAAAATAAAAATATAAAAGTTACTAAAAATAGTAGGTAATTAATGCTGGCCAAAATTTGACCTACTATTTTTAAAAAATGATAATTCTTTATATATATATATAGATATTATATTTATCTATATTTCAAGCTGCGTGAATAATATGTACATTAGTTTAATTAAAAGTATTCTAATTTATTTTTTTGGAGAGAAAATAATAAATTAAATTATAAATAAAATTGGGCTGCTTTTTATTTACATTAATGTGGTCAATCAGCGATAGAAAAGTGTTCAAGTATACTTTTAAACTAAGTCTATTTTAATTATAAAATCAATTTAGGACAATTCACAAATAATATTTCGACAAATATAAAGTGACGCAAGCAGTTGTTGCGATTTCATAGCGAATAAACCCTCAGTCTCATTTTTTAATTCATAGCCTTTACTGAGCTAATAGTTGAGTAAAACTTATGCATGTAGCCATGTAAAAATATGGGATGTTTGCAATCAAATAAATCACTTTAATTACCTATAAAATCGGTGACAAGCCGGCCGTTGCAAAACCTTCCGGTGGCTATTTTACCCGGAAAATCCTTTCCGTACGGCGGGAAATTGCTTTTACTGATAGTTTTAATGTAGTTATTATTGCCCGAATCGACCGTAGAATCCCCAAAAACGAACAATGCGGGAACCGAGCTGTTTCGAGTCTGATCAACCGCCATTGATAAAAACATCACCATGAAATAAAGAAGAAAATGCAGCAAAGCATGGCAAAATAAATTGGAGGGAGACCACATTTTTTTTTTTTTTTTTGCTGGAAATATAATAAAACAAAATAAAATTGCAAACTCTTTCCAAATGTTACATGAAAATACAGGCATTTTGTGTGTGTATGTATATATATTGGTAAGAAAGGGCCTACAGAGAGTGATGTATGGTTAAGAGATTTATTTGTTAATTTAATTTTTTATTTGTTTATTAGGAGTTTGAAAATGACTAGGTTATTATCATTAATAATAATAATAATAATAATAATAATAATAATAATAATAATA